TTGAATAACCCACCTGGAGACCGAGATATAGCCAAACACAGGGTTGAAGAAACAATGGCAAAAGTTCAGCTCGATGAACCTACAACAATTATAATAGCCTATCAACTGACAATCCAATCCAAGACAACACACAAAGCACATATACTTAGTCGAAATCATATCGACTAAGTGACTCGTGGATTCCTTGACCGAGTTAAGTACTTTGGAGCGACTACTAGACTTGAACACAACATATATACCTCAGGTAAAATACATAAATTATGCCAACATCAATAAAATCCAATCCGAACCTAAACAACGGATAACCGAGCATTAAGACTCCAAAATAAATAAAATTCAGAATCCGGAGTTAGACTCAACCAATCAACCTGAAACTTTATCACATCACAAGGCATACAAAAACACATAATCTCACCAAGTTTCAGCCCTAAATTCATCTGGGAGCATTTTTAAATAATTTAAGCAAAAACAGTGTCAAAACCCGACATTAATAGTTCATATAGTTACACTTCGAATTTTAATATTAAATTTTGACACAACATAGATTACCAAAAAATAAAATACTTCTCAAAGTTTCAGCTCAAAACACTTAGTGTACGATTTTAAATGGATTTTACAAAATTCTGACCAGAAACCGATTCAATTAATTAAAATAGCTACAGATAGAGTTTCGACTTGAAACTTTTACACGACTTACAAAATCATCACAAGAACTCACATATAAAATTTCATGGCCTTCGGACTATCACACGATTTATCATGAATTAATTACGATTCAGCAGCATGCTCGGTTTAGAAAATTTATAATTCGACATATACACATCTAAACGACACCAAACCAAAACCAATAACTCGAGGACAACTCCAAGTACCTATAACTCCAGGATTTCCACGAAAAATACTACTCGAAACTCAGTTCGACAATAAACCAAAGTGACGACAATCACTTTGATACCCAAATCGAATATAAACTCAATATATGGCTCAATAAAACATCCAAGGCACGTAATTGACTCGTATGTTCACACGTTCAGCAACTTAGCACATATTATAACACATAACACAAATTATGACACCAAACGAATCGGGGTTCGAGTCTAAGTACCGTTCTCGGGAAAGAGTCGGAGAAACGGGACGTAGGACACGAACGGGGTTGAAACGGCTTCACGAATGCACCGACGGGCTCGACGGCTAAGCTTCGGGTCACTCTAGAGTTGTGTGGGTGATCAGCGGGGGTTGGGCAGCGATGAACAGGTCCCAACAACGATGGACATCAAGGGAAGACGCACGACAATGCACGAACAGCGGGAACGGAGTTCGGCTCGCGGGGCGTGCGTGTACGTAGTCTTGCGTGGCTATCCCGGCTCACTAAGGATGC